CAAAAGCAGAAGTAGTGGTAGGATGTTATAAAAAAAATATAAAAAAATATAGAATAATAAAATCGATAAAATTTGACAATTTATAAGTCCAGAGGTACCAAAATCTAGGTGGTTTGTTTGATAATTCTATGGCATCGGTTCGGTCCATATGTCTAACCCTAAGTGCCTCTTTCTCTTTCGTTATCAGCAAGAAAAGGATAGGATACTTTTTATAAAAGGGTGCATAGTGCACACTCGCACCTTACCTCTGAGAGTCTACTCCCGTTCTCATCCAACATCCGTCCGTCCGAAACAATTAAGACTCATTCACGTTACACTGTGCAGTGTCGTTTCCACCGTGAGCTAGCCAGGTCACTCATTCGTTGAGTCACGTTACACCGTGTCGGGTCCGGGCCTTCACCGTGCCGTGTCGTTTCCACCTTGCGCCGGCCGGGTCAGTCATTCACTGATTCACGGTACACCGTGCCGGGTCCGGGTCGTCACAGTGCCGTTTCGCTTCCACCGTGCGCGGGCAGCTTGATTTTGATTGCCTCTCCTGATCGCAATTCGTATTACGACGTTTCGCGATCGGTGCACGGTTGGAACCGGGAAAAAAATACTAGATGTCGTGTCTCGACCGGGGCACGGATTCGGCCCGGCCTAACATGAATTATATATAATCTTCATACAAAAGCATAATATAGATATTCGCATAATATATCTAGTATTAAAAAAAATATTTAAGCATAATATAGATTAGTATTAACAAAATATTTGATAAAACGTAGTTACAGCGAAATTCAAGAGCTACTAGTAATAAACGTGTAACTTGTAGTATACAATTTCATTAATATACATGCACGCATACACATATCCACAGTCGCACGCACACGCGCACGCACACGCGCACACGCACTAGCACACGCGACACACACACACACACACACAAAGGCACGCGCGCGCGCGTCCGCGCACACGCGTTGCACACACTTTTATTATAAGTAAATAGACGTGATTATTTACTACATACTACTTACGTAATTATAGTTTTTAATTTTTAGTAATAGTTTAATTATTATTATTTTTAATTTTCAGTAATAGTAATTTTAATTTGTATTTTTAACAAACTTCAAAAAAGGAGGAGGTTCTAGTGATGAAAGAGACTCAGTCTTTTAAGGCCTTTTAAAAAACTTCGACTAATTTTTAACGCCTCACGACTAGTCTAGTCTTTTAACCGTCAAGTCTTGAGTCATAAGACTAAAACTGAAGACTAATTCCAGTCGAGGTCTTTTAACCCTAGGAAGCTTAAAAGACTTATAGGACTAAAACGAGTAAAAAGACTAAAACGACTGGTGCCTCGGGAGTCGCGAGTCATGAGCCGTATGGCGTGATTTTATTTTTACCCACACGGTATTTATTTTTAACTTAAATGTGAAGTTTTCAAGTATAAATTTATTTTACTTATGGAATAAATAATCATTGACTTTGACGATATTTATTATAAATTTTATATTTATTATACGTGATTATTTACTACATACTACTTACGTAATTTTTATTTATAAACTTCGGGTTCAATAAGACATAAAATAGGTATAAGTCCTTAGTACACAATTCGAGTCTTATAAGCCTTTCAAGTCGTTCAAGTTGTTTAAGTCTTTTAGTATAACGACTGAGTCTTTTTAATAAAAACTCGAACCCCCAGTCTTAATTTTAGAGTCGAGTCCTGTAAAATGGAGTCGAGTCGTTATAAAACGCCTTAAAAGACGAATCTCTTTCATCATTAGGAGGTTCTCAATTCGACTGTATGCCTTTTTTATGTATGTTACTGATGGAAACCGCTCCGTGAATTGTTAACCTTAAACTGATGCTACTCAACGAGGGATGTGGTCCTACCTAATCGATAGTTAGAAACCATGTGGCTGTTTTCAATATTAAAAAAATATTTCATTTTTCATACTATACCTACACTGGTACTGGTGTATTATTAAATTAATATATTAATATCAATTATTATCATTTTCTTAACGGCGACCATTAGGCTTGGGCCAGTGTCGGTTTTAGAAGAATAATACAAAAAATATGGCGACCGTCGCCAGTGTCAGTTTTCCATTACAGTACGTTACCACGGGTTGGTGAAGCTGTCATTGTCAAGCGTAAACTCGGACTATCAACGAACTTAATAAATTAAATTATGTTGTTTTTTATGAAGGATCTATGTAATTTTCCATAATTGTTTCTAATTTATTTTGCATGCACATGTAAAATAAAGCCGATTTTATTTTATTTATTTTTTAAATGCATTTGCTATGGAAATTTAAACAAAGTCAGAAATAGTAATAAGAAAACCAATATTTCGATTTTTCTGCAGCTTCAATCCAACCTTCTCTTATTTTGAACTCATTGGAAAAATTTAAAAATTAAGAATACTCTACGTTTAATCTACAAGTATAATGGAATTTAAATATCTAAATTATCTAAAACAATACACATACATTTTTCTTCAAGCAACAGCAACAAACAAATTGACATGAAATTTAAACAATTGTCCGAAATATGAGTTGTGTTAAAGTACTTGAAATAAAATGTTTAGTGATAATAATAATGATAATAATAATAATAAAACAAAGGAAATCAATTTAACGTGAATGCTTTTCGCTTCTATATTTTAGGGACTTTAATTATAAAAATCATAGTAAGAAATTCAAATATTTCAGTAAAAATTCATTGTCGATAAACGTCAGTAAATGAACATCACTATATTTGAGCCTAGAAATTTCTATGGAGACGAAAAGAAAACATTGAATAATAATAGAAATAGTAACTAAAAATGCAAATAGCCGGTGGAATGTTATCTCACTGGTTTTACAATTTTTGTTTTCACTCAAATTCTTACAAGGTGTATCGCTACAACTTGGTATTTTCACGTTTTACGAGAGATCTTGTATGTACAACGATCGCCATGTCACTGTGGCGAAGGGAGGAAGGGAGTAGACCTCCAGGGCTCAAATTCAAAATCCAAATTCCAAATTCCACTTATTTACTACACACGAAAAAAACATAAAACATACAAATGAAAAACCTAACATATAAATAGTAAATAAAAACACAAAACTATATCTATGGTTGCAGATGTGTGGCGAGGATTCTGAGCTCCGTACAGGTATACTGTGCAAACTTAGTTTGCACAGCACTGATTTTCAGCCAGAACCTCCCTGCCAGGAGCAACGGTCTCGCGTTTGTGTTACAACAGGTAAATTAGTACAGACCTTGAATTAAGCTATTTGAGGAGCGCGAAAGTTGTAACGTTGCACATACATAAGTTATTGAACTCTAACATTTTATTGCGAAATCACACCTCGTTAGAAAGGACCCGAGCCCGGCAGTGGAACGTATTGTTATTGTTGTACGAGGAACAACTCGTAATAGTTAATATGTTTGTTCGCGTCTATATTCCATTTTTTAGAGAGTGCTCATTGGCCGAGCGACCTCGTCATATCGAAGTTTCTCGATGAAAAGGTTTTGACGTCATCACGGCGGTTGGTGACAGAGGACACACGAAGGACAGTGAGAACTGCCTCTCGCCTCGTTCGCAGCGAAGCTATATCGGTTGAATCCAATTTTTCCGTTACGTGTCTTATTACGCGTTGGAATAAAGTAAAAACAGTTTAAAAAGCGTAATCTAGCACCCCGATAGGGGTGCTATACTACGGCTAGAATAGCCGCTGACGTCGTGTACGATTTCACTGAACCGCTCCAGCCTTCCTACTCGACTAGGGCTTAGACGGGAACCACAACCCACTGACCGTTTCTGAGCCGATTGCGTCGATTTTGCTTCCACTGGAAAGAGCTCAACGTAAAGTCCTGTCAGTCCGACACTTATATAAATTCCCATGTCATTGTATTGAAACACTCAAAATTATATTCGACCCTACCTTCAAAAACAAAAAAACACACGGTGTGCTCCTTGGAAACCTTTCAAGGTAAATTTGCTGGGACGTCCTTTTGTTTCCTTGGAAGTTACGTATCAACAAAATTAACAATATTCTAGGTACATATATATATATATTTATATTTATAATATCAAGTGTTGGGACGAACAAGTCGTATATGTACTCTTTATGTAGAACTGAATGTAAAAATTAAAGTGACGAACTGGTTGCTTGGTCTTGGCTTTCAGGCTACAGAAGACCTCTTGTCAGTTCGGGCTTAGAGTCGTATGGCTAATGGGGAGAGCGGTATAGTTGCGGTAACTCACAAATACACACACGCATATACGCAGGCTTCGCCATTGTTCTTTCAAAAATTTGATCACGGTCACGCTGGAATAAGAGACGCGAGGACACACGTGCCTATTGTTGGGTAATTTTCCGAAAAATTAAATACAGTACAAATTTTTCCGGAAAATTTCCCGAAAAATTGGAAAAATATAATTTTGAAGGCATCATATTATGTTCTACGTGAAAAATGCCTTTTCTTGATGTTCTAGTTAGCATGAATTATAAAATAAACTAACATAGCTAAAAGCAAACTAAAGAAAGACGAGATTTAAAATGATTTCAGAACAGCGAAAAAAATCCTTTTATAAAATGGTTTCTTTGTTTTCGTTCAGTAACTTCAATTTTTGACAGGTGTCAACGTTAAATGTGGAAAATTAAAGGAAACATATTGGAAAAATATCCGGAAAAATATTTATTTCTCTGAAAAATATGATTTTTCAAAATGGAAATTTTTCCATCAGACAACGTGGTCAGGAGTAGGACGTACAAAGGGTCGATAACGATTATGGTGACCAAAGAAACATGTTATAACAAGATTCGTTCACAAATAAGACTCAAAAGTTGAATGCTCAAAATATATTCCATTATACACATAATAACATTACATAGTTACAGCCAAGGGCAAAAATATGTATTTACTAAACAATAGCGCATTATTATACCTCCGTAGATATTTAAGTATTCAAGAAACATTTTATAACTACTTTAAACATATATTTATTTAAATTTACAATAGACTCCACCATAAGTATTCAAGAAACATTTTACAACTACTTTAAACATATATGTATTTATTTAAATTTACAATAGACTCCACCACTATTCATGCTATCGGCTAACTACGCGAGGTTGAAAAACAGCCCGGTTTTCTAATTGGTTGTTTCAAATTACACACACACTGTAATTGGGTGCTGACATATCATTTCGAATGATATGTCAGCACCCAATTGATTGCAGATATATCACCACCATGATATTCAATTATTCTTTGTGAAATTACTCCACTAGTTTGTTATAATTTAATCATAATAATAACGCACACACTCAACATAGCTCCGCACTAGGGAAACCCTGTGTTGCGGGTGTCATGGATACACACATAGACAACCACTAATTACACCCAAACTCACGAGAGAAATAAACGTAGGCCATACAAATATATCTCCCGGCCCGGGAATCGAATCTCGGACCTCTGCGTGGCAGTCATGGTAATCGTT